GACATACACCTTTAATCTCAGCACTCAAGAGGCAAGAGGCAGGCATATCTCTGTGAGGTTGAGGCCAGCCTGGTCTAAACAGCAAGTTTCAGCCAGCAAGGACTACAAAGAGAATCTGTCTGTTTCTTTCTTTCTTTCTTTCTTTCTTTCTTTCTTTCTTTCTTTCTTTCTTTCTTTCTTTTCTTTCTTTCTTTCCTTTCTCTCTCTCTCTCTCTCTCTCTCTCTCTCTCTCTCTCTCACACACACACACACACACACACACACACACACACACAAGAAATTAGGGACTAGCACCCCACCCCCTGCAAAGAATAAAGCACATGTAAGAAAGAGGTCTCCATAATCTGAAGGTATTGCCCTTTTTTCCTTTTCCCCTCATCTATACAGGCCCCAGACACACGGCAGCTACTCAACCTATTGAATGGCAAAGACCCTAGTCTGCTAGTCTCTGCCTTCCCCACCTGAGAAGGGGAAGCACTGATCGTAGCTTCAAGAGTTACGGCCAGACCATGGTTCTACCGTACCTAAGTGGTCCTATTATACAGCAAAGTGCCACTCACTGAACTTTACTCAGGAGTAGTTTTAGGTGAGATTAGCACCAAGCAAGGAAGCTAAAAGCAAGGCACAATGCAGAGGACAAGGGAATGATAGTTCCAGACAAGACCACGCAGCACACATCAAGCATACCTGTTCTACGGTTGCTCTGTCGGCCTTATCTTTAACTCGATACCTAAGCAAAAACAAAGATAGTCAAAACTCAGTGAGGAGCCAGAATGAGACTTCTAAATGTAAACGACTCTGTGACAATTCTTAAGCAATTTTTCGTAAGAATTTTTCATCCTAATTTGATATTTAATCAGTAAAACTCCATTTCTCTGAGCATGCAAGTCAAATCCCCTTAGCAGACATGTCTAATCTTCTATTATTTCATTTTAAAGTTATTTTTTTCCATTTATTATTCTTGTGTGTGAATGAAATGTAGATAAGAGCAAGCCACTCTGCATATGATGGTCAGAAGACAAGCTTGGGAGTTGGCTTCTTTCCACCATCAGGGATCAAACTCTGGTTGTAAGCTTGTGTGACAGGCACTTTTACTGACCCTTCTCTCCACCATCTCCCAGGACCCCTTTTGGTATTTCTAGAGGACATGTCATCTACAAAGCTCACACTCGAGAACCATGTAATCAAGAAACAACAAAAACAACAGATCTCATGTTTTAAGTAGGTTTATAATTTCCTGTTGGACCTCATTCATTATTATCCTCAGTCACGTGCACTCAAATATGAGCCCACAGCCACGCACATACATGCACGCACATACACACAAACATATATGTGTGTGTATATAATGTTATGTATGTAATATAATACATTTCACATATGCATACAGAGAAAAGGGAGACAGGGAGAGTGGAGGGAGGAAGGAGGGAGACGGAGGAGTAGAGAAAGAGAAGTAGAGGAGAGGGAATAAGAATGTGTGTGTAAGAGGAAGTCTTTCTACATTCTTGAGGCAGTACATACAAGAGCACCTGGAGTACAGTGACAAGGGAAATACTCAGTGTGGTCATACTGTTCGTTAACTCTTTAATGCGGACGGACACTTGATTTGCTTCAGCTCATATACTAGATAACTCAATCCAACACACTATCCTAAACTAACAAGGGTTCAAATACAAGGAGGCAGACAGACAGGTCAGTGAAATACCAAGTGACTAAGGTGTCACTTAGAAAGTAATTATCTCTGTGGACACAGCAATAAACCAGAGGAAAACTGATTTTCATGTTCAGTTTTAACACTGCTATTGAATTAATGTTATTTCCTATACTGTAATGATCATCCCAGTTATTAGCACATGAGAGAAGTCAGCCAGGTCTTAGTCTAAACTGGAATCTACAAACACTTATCTTTATGAAAACACATTTATGGACTTCACAAGATTGTACTTTTACTACTTAAGACTGATTTAATATTTAGATTTACAAAAGTATACAAAAAGCACACTCTACGCTAATAAATGAAAGCACATCAACATCCTTTGGAGAACAATTATGCTACTCAACAAATTAGTCTCCACCAACCATGCTTATAATGAAAACATTACTTACGAGTCTGCTTCTTTTTGTCTAGTTTTTACGGTGACTTTGTTTATGACAGAATCAGTAACATTCAGTTTATCTAAAAGAACAAAAACTCACAATGTAAATAATACAAGAGGCAAAAAGACACTAATAGTCTCTGAACAGGGTACTTCCCCCTCTCTTCCCCCTTCTACATATATATTTTTGGGGAGGGGGAGGTTCAAGACAGAGTTTCTCTGTGTAGTTTTGGTGCCTGTCCTGGATCTCGCTCTGTAGACCAGGCTGGCCTCAAACTCATAGAGATCCACCTGGCTCTACCTCTTAAGTGCTGGGATTAAAGGCGTGCGACACCACCACCTGGCCTATATTTTCTTAATAGAATTAAAATATATTTTACTTATGAGGCAAGCAACAAGTTAAGATATTGTCTTCATAGTATGCATTTATAGCACTATAGGTGTGATTTTTGAGCCAGAATTCTAAACTCTAGATAAAGACAATACTCAAAAACATTGGATCTACATATTAAATCTCAGATACTTACTATTTTGCACAATATAGATAACACAAGTGTCTGAATTCAAAGTATAACTCTGCAAACTTCAGTTTCTTAAGTTACATGTACATCATGATGACCGTGAAACACTTACATACATTAATCTGATATTTATGGACAGTGTACATGAAAGACACAGGGTAGGTTTAAAGAATCAAGATAGTGCAAGGAAAAAATGATGGCCTTGCATTTTTAAAGCAGTATAGTTCAAATAGGGCTGGCTTTCAACTAAACCATTAACACCAATATAGAGTCTAACCAAACAAAACAGCATTTTTAGGCTATTTTAATTGAAAATCCAATGTAGAACAGGTAAGAATCGGAATGAGTATCTGAAACTTCATATTCCCACAATATTGAGTCGAATACATGTACATCTTGAGCCAACAAAAATGCCTAACATTTCAGCATTTGGAAGAATCTCTTCACAGCCCAGTTAGGCCATGTTTTGTGTTTGCTTGTTTTTTTCAAGACAGGGTTTCTCTGTGTAACCCTGGCTGTCCTAGAACTTGCTCTATAGACCAGGCTGGCCTCGAATTCAGAGATCCGCCTGCCTCTGCCTCCAGAGTGCTGGGATTAAAGATGTGAACCACTACCACCCAGGCTAGGCAATCTATCTTTAAAAAACTTACTTAGATTGATTTTATTTTCAAATTTTCTCAAGGACTTGTCAATTGGAGTAGACATTTTGGCTGAATTGTAGTTAGAAGTCTGTCGATTTGCCTGTAAGAAATTAGTTTAAAACAGGATTAGTTGTAAATTCAAGCCTAAGGTTCGCATTACGTTCTTTCTTTCCTTAGTTATTTTTTTTTTATATTTTGGGGGGAGGGGCACCACACATATGGAGGTGAGAGGACAAATTTTAATTGCTGAGTTTCTCCTTCCACCCTGGGAACAGCTCAGGTTGTCATGCTTGACACTGAGTGCCTTTACCTGCTGACCCGTCTCCCCCGTGCCAGTTCAGTTAGTTATGACTTGACACCGTTACACACGGGAGCATAAAAGAGAAACACATTTTCTAAGACTTGTTTTTTAAGGTGTTTATAGCTGGAGAGACGACTCAGCAGTTAAGAGCACTGGCTGCTCTTCCAGAATGGGTTTGATTCCCAGCACCCACGTGGCAGTTCACAACTGTCCGTAACTTCAGTCTAGGGGATCCAAAACATTTTTCTGGTCTCTTTGGGCATTTCATCAACTGCATGCACATGGTATACAGATATACATTATAAAAAATAAAATTAAAAAGAGGCATTTCTAAGAAAAAGTTAAGGTTACTGACTAGAACAGAGGTCCCATGTTATTCTCTTCAATGTATTTTTTGTTATTATGAATAATAAGGTTATATTTGTTTTTTATTTAATTAGTTTCTAGATTTGATACTTGAGAATATTCATTTACCTTCAAAGTGTTTAATGAAGAGCTAAAGCTAACATTAAAATCATTCTAGCAATATTATTATTATTATTATTATTATTATTATTATTATTATTGGTTTTTCGAGACAGGGTTTCTCTGTGTAGCTTTGCGCCTTTCCTGGAACTCACTTGGTAGCCCAGGCTGACCTCGAACTCACAGAGATCCGCCTGCCTCTGCCTCCCAAGTGCTGGGATTAAAGGTGTGCGCCACCACCACCCGGCTCTAGCAAATTTATTTTAAGCCTGACACTCAAGAAAGGAAAAGGGGAAAGACAGCCTAAGGCTCAACACTTATACTGGTGCTCTGCATGTATGTTTATGCATCGCATGGTGTCTGGTGCCCACAGAGGCCAGAAGAGGGCATTGGACCCCCTAGAACTGGAGTTATAGATGGTTGTGAGTTGCCATCTAGGTGCTGGGAATTGAACCCAGGTCCTTTGCAAGAGCCTCAAATGCTCTAAACCACTAAGCCATCTCTTCAGCCCCTTTAACCTTTAAAATAACTTTTGGCCTTGGGATATAGATCAGTAACACAATACTTGCCCTTGGTTTGATTCCTAGCACCACAATAAATAAAAATCAAACATGTTTTCTATCATATACATGTTTGACTAATTGATTTTTGTCATGCTGGGATGCATGGCAGGCAAAGTGTTCCAACAATGCACTGTACCTACAACCTAACAATTTAATTGCTGTAATCATCAGCAACCCAAAGTAACAACTAACATTAAGTCTATATACATCAGAACACAATCCATGCTGAAATTACCCGGGCTCACCAGTGATTCAGTGGAGGAGCCGCCAACCCCCCTCCCCCCCACACACACAAAGAAAAGATAAAGTGGAGAACTAATGAGGAAGATACCTAACATCTGCCACACACACACACACACACACACACACACACACACACACACACACACACAAGCAGATTTACAGAATGACTCCGTACCTGAGGGTTACTGCCTCCATTCTGGGTACAGCCCTTGGTGAGTTTTCCAGTTCCATCATCCCAGTACCAATCACTGTCGTAATCATAGCTGTCTTCCTCATCGATCTCACCTTCGCCCCTCACCTCTGTCACATCATCCGGAAGGTTTTTAAGTAGGATGTCGTCCTTTGCTTGAATTGACTTCACTTCTATGCTTTCACTAGACATAAGAGTGTTCTGGCATGTTTATACACCCTCTAAGGGAAAAACCATACACATACATACAATCCTAAAAATTCCCTTACATTTCCCAACCTTCTCCATCTTCCCCCTCACTTTTTGTTATTGTTGTTGTTTTTGTTTTTTGATACATGGTTTCTCTGTGTAGTCCCAGCTGTCCTAGAACTCACTCTGTAGACCAGGCTGGCCTCCAACTCGGAGATCCGTCTGCCTCTGCCTCCAGAGTGCTGGAATCAAGGAGTGCACCACCACACCCGGTGCCAGGTTCCATTTTCATAAACTTAGTGCATCCCAAACAAAACACATTCTAGTAGATGTTCTGCACAGCTCATGCTCAGGACGCTGGGGCTGTTGACTGGGGCTCTAGTTCCCTCAAAGACAGAAGCATTCTTTATTCAAAGAGGTACCGCCAGGAAGTTAGCCGCCACCCTCCTGCTGGCAAGTGCCAGCTTCTACAGTTCCCTTTCCTGTCCCTTTATGACCCAGGATGGTCCTGGCGTCCACTCTTATGTCCTCTGGGGAAACTGTTCCACCCTTCTGCTGTAGCCCACACTACACATTTGTCAATAATCTTTGTCACACTGTCTCCAAGTATCCCAGGAACATGCCAGCCACTTCTGATGGGTCTCTTCTAGATACCTCACGTGTCTAAATGTAAGTTTAAGCCTCAGGCGAGGATTACCACTGGAAGGTTTACTGGATTGTTTGGTGAAGATGATTCATACAAATGAGAAAGCTTAAATAACTGTAAATTTAATGACAGGAGTGTTAGCAACATCATGACATCTGAAAACCACTGGCAGCATAGGGAAGCTGACCACAGCCAATTCCCAGAGAAGCTGGGCATTCACTCAGGGGACACAGAAGCCCCGATGAAGTACTAGGGTCGGCAGCCAGCTAACACCAAGGAGAACTTCTGGGTACCACCATGACAGGGGCTGTCACAATCGGCTGTTGCTTAATGGGTGCTATTCAAGGATTAGATTATACCTCCCCACTTTGACCCATCAAGTACCTAAAAACTGCCACAGCGCCTGCACTGAGACTGTGGCGTGTGTGTGTGTGTGTGTGTGTGTGTGTGTGTGTGTGTGTGTGTGTCTCGGAGTTGGGGGTATATGTCTTACCATCCACTGGCCATGGAATGCTAGATTCAGTTTCTCTCGTAACGTTTTATTTTGGTGTCTGAAGACACTTTTCTATTGTTCCCTGGCCTGTGTCTTCTGATAAGCAGCCAGCCAGTAATTGGGTTGTTGCTTCTCTAGATATAGCTGTCATTTTCCTCTTGACCATGTCAAGATTTGCTCTTAATCTTTGGCTTTCAACGCTTTGAAGATTTGCCTCAAGGAAGTAGCTAGACAATACAATCCCCATCGTCGTACTTAAGCACGAACCGCTGCTTCTTCCAGATATGACAGACAAAAGGTCTGCCTGGCAAAGAAGTTCACAGAACACAACCATAAATCCCAGGCATATATAAAAAGGGAGTGTGTGTAGATAGCACAGGGATCGGAGGCCGAGGGGCTCGGCAAAGGACAGGGGGTCAGTCACACTAGAAAAACTCAGAGGAGAGTCAGTTGCAGGAAGACTTGCTTTGTGGACCAGGCTGGCTTCAAACTCACAGAGACCCGCCAGCCTCTGCCTCCCGACTGCTGGGATTAAAGGTGCTGGGATTAAAGGCGCTGGGATTAAAGGCGCTGGGATTAAAGGCGCTGGGATTAAAGGCGCTGGGATTAAAGGCGCTGGGATTAAAGGCGTGAGCCACCACCACCTTTTTAATGGGAACTTTTCCATCACTGCTTTCATTTAACCTCAAAACCTTGATCTTGCTACCTCAATATCATTCTATAATCACAGCTGTAGGAGCCATCGTGTTTGAACCTGGTTTTCGTTTGTTTTAATTGGTTCTCTGTTCCACTCTTACTCTCCAAGAACATCTATGTAACTGACCAGTTCCTTTAATTCGTAAATCAAACAACTCCCTGAACCTGCTAAACGCCTTCCTCTGGCCTTATAAGACCTGAACAGTACCTTAACTCCTCTCAGCCACTTGTAAGGGTCTATCTGGCTGGTCTCCCTTCTGCCTCAGTTCTCTCCACTGTGCTCTAGGCTCTGGCCTCTTGCTTTTGTTTTTACAGCCAAGACGAATCAACTATAGGGCCTTCACTTGTCCACTCGGTCACACACGTTGTTTCTCCTCTGCTTCTTCTAGCGATTTAATCTGGACTTCTTGTGGTTTTAGTGTTGGAAATAGAATCAGAGCCCTGTCTGTGGCAGGCAAGCGTCCTCCTGAGTTACTAAATCTGGCTCTTTCCTGCTCATTGCACCCCATTTACACTATCTGCTTCTGCCCTCCTTTCCAAATAGACAGTGGAGACTTGATTTATCTCGTTCATCACTGTATCTCCAGTGGAAGACAAAAATCTGCTGAGTGTTATGTGGAACCCTGTATGGGGAGGGGGTGGTGAAGGCCTGTGTTTCTCAACTGTCCCCAACTCTGCTTCTCTGCTGATTACTCTGGGAACCCCGACTCCCTTGACAGGTAGCTTTCACGACCTGCCCAGCTATAAGGACAGACCTTGGAGAAACCACAGCCCAAACCGGCCAGGCGCCAGGAATGCGGAGCTGGCAGGATCTGAGCAGTCCGTGTGTGGACTCCAGCAGCCTACCTGTCAGAGGAGTCCGCGTCGTCGAACTGCCCGGGGACCACCGCGGCCATCCTATCCCGACTGCAGTCCATGACAAGCGGGGCGGAAGAGACGGCTTTTCACCCGGCGAACCCAACCGCGTCTCCGCGACTCCCGCCTCACACGAATCGCTCGGCAATCGCCAGGCGCAAAGCAGCAAGCATGCGCCACGGGGTATCCGGATACACGATTTCTGCAAACACCAACACAGACAGACCGGAGGTTCAGTGCCGGAAGTGCGTCACGAGAAGTTCCGCTCCATGCCGTAGTGCCCTCCCGGCGCATGTGCGTTACGGTGGCCGGGGAAGGCCAATCCGCGGTGCGATGTGGGGGTGTGGCATTGATTGTAGGACCGGACGTGCGGGGTCCGTTCTTCCCCAGCCTTTCATTCTTGCTCTAACATGGTGTTTCCCGCCTCAGAAAGTCAGGCCCGTCATTCCCCGGCTGCTCTTGAAGACTTGCGTCCGTTGACCCACTTCCTCGGGACAACAGTGAGGCCCAGAGGACGTCACACTGGGACGTTCGAGCTCCCTGCGACACAGCCGGTTGCAGACAGCCCTCGGTGGGGACGGTTGGAAGGCGTTCTCGCTCCCGCGGAGCCGGTGTGCAGGAGGAAACGCGGAGTCCGTAGCCGGGGTCAGAGAAGCTCCATGGATCATGGAAGTGAGCACAGTTTTGCGCCCTAGACACGTTGGTGCGTTGTTTTGAGATGCAAATGAAACAAGTGTGTGTTTTTGTTTGTTTGTTTTTTTAAGTTGGTGTTAGTCCATTGAAATCCTAAAGTCAGAGTTTTGCGTTTGGCGGGAACTCTCGTGACATCTGTCACTGTCTTTTTTTCCCCCCTTAATGTTTAAATGTTATGTACGACCGCTCGCGCGCGCGTGTGTGTACACCAGCACATGTGTGAAGTTCAGAGAACAAGAGTCTTGGCGCCTTCCACCTTGGGCTCCAGGAACCGAGCGCAGGTCATCAGCGCTTTTCCCTGTTTAGCCCTCTCGCAGACCCTTACTACCTATCTTAAACGGCCGCACTACCTATCCCAAGTCGTAGGGTTGGGGTGGTGGCGCACGCCTTTAATCCCAGGACTCTGGAGGCAGAGGCAGGCAGATCTCTTGAGTTCCAAGCCAGGCTGGTCTGCGTAGCTAGTTCCAGGACATCCAGGGCCACACGGAGAAACCCTGTCTCTAAACAAACAAAAATAACAGCTTTAGAGCTAATGGCTAATGGAACATTTGAATAAGTTTTTTTTTTGTCTTGTTTTGTTTTGTTTGTTTTTTGTTTTTTTTTTTTTGTGGGGGGGGGGGTTCGAGGCAGGGTTTCTCTGTGTAGCTTTGCGCCTTTCCTGGAACTCGCTTTGGAGACCAGGCTGGCCTTGAATTCACAGAGATCCGCCTGCCTCTGCCTCCCGAGTGCTGGGATTAAAGGCGTGCGCCACCACCGACCGGCTTGAATAAGTATTTTTAAAATCTAACATTTTCGAGGGACCGAAGTGAAAGATGGAAACGAAGTCCTTTTTTTTATTTTAGTAAATTGGCAGATTGTACAGAGCCTTTGGAGGCATGAACAAACCTTTAAAAATGTAATTAGAGCAGATGGCTAAGTGGTTAAATACATGGGAGTTTTGTTCCCAGCACCCAACTGGGCCACTAACAACTACTGTAACTCCAGTACCAGGAGTTATAATTGCAAGTCACAGGTCCATGGAAAAGAAAAACGTTTTGCATTTGGAAAACGACTTATGAGTTCCAGGACAGGCTCCAAATCTACACAGAGAAACCCTGTCTCGAACCCCCCCCCCCCAGAAAAATGTGTAATGAATCTGATGATTGTCAGGCAATATTCACCCCTGATAACATCACACAACTGGTATTGTGCATGCCATTGTACCAACCTACAACAACAAACACTACACCTCTGTTCAGGTTTGAGACTTATATGTTATGACCTACAGTGTTTTTACTATGCCTGCAGTTTTCTGGTCTGATAGAAATAATCGTTTCATTACAGAAAAGAGACTTAATATTTTCCTACTCTCATTCTTCGGCATACAAATATCAAAGTAGTATATCTTTGGATGGTATTATGTCAGATAAATAAACATCTGATTAATATGTAAATTTGCTTTCCTATTTAACAAATGGTAAAATTACTTGTATACCAAAAATTGTTTTAAAATAAATATCTTTATGATTTGTTATCAGTGTTTTATTTACATGTAGTTTCACAGAAAAAAAGACTGAGCGGAAAAAGTTTTTTTTTTAAGCTGTGATCTAATCTACACCACTTGATGTAGAAAGAAGAGACTATAAATATGAAAATTAGGGCCTAGAAAGATGGGCTCAGCCATTATTACATACTGTCATATGTAATACATATGTAATACATACACAGTACATACTGCTCTTACAAAGGACCTGAGCATGGATCTCAGCACCCAAGTCAGGTGGTCCACAACTTCTGTAACTCTAGTTCTAGGGGATCTGACACCACTGGCCTCCAAGGACACATTGAATCACAAGCACATACCCACACAGAATCAAACACATACACATAATTAAAAGTGAATCTTTAAGAATAAAAGGAAAGTTAGTGGGCCGGGGAAAGAGGAGGGCTGACATGGGACAACACTGCCTGAAAAGCTGTCAATAGAGTCCTTGCCAGACAATTATAATGTATAAATGGAAAATTAGTAATGTTGTTTGTTTTTGCTCTTTTGGGGGCCCTCCACCCAGCTCCCAAATAAATCACACACAGAGGTTTATACTTATCAGTGTCTTGCCTTAGCTTGGCTTGTTTCTTGCTAGCTTTCCTTGACTTTAACTTGTCCCACCTACCTTTTGCCTCTGGGCTTTTCTCATTCTCATACTTCTGTAAATCTTACTCTTTCTCCATGGCTTGCTGTGTAGCTCCAGGGTGGCTGGACCCTGGAGTCCTCCTCCTTCTCTGGCTACTTCTTTCCTCCCAGATTTCCCCCTCTATATATTCTCTCTGCCTGCCAGCCCACCCTGTCCTTTCTCCTGCCTTGCCATCGGCCGTTCAGTTCTTTATTAGACCATCAGGTGTTTTAGACAGGCTCAGTAGCACAGCTTCACAGAGTTAAACAAATGCAACATAAATGAAAGTAATACACCTTAAAATAATATTCTGCAACATAGTAACACCCTTTAAGTAGTAGTGAAGACTGAACAGTAGCCCAACATGATGAATTATGAGAAAACAATGCAAAGACTAATGAAACACAGAAAACTTAAAACCAGATGGATGGTGTGCTGGCTTTTGTCAGCTTGATACAAACTAGTCATATAGGAAAGGGAAACCTCAAAATTAGGAACTTACCTCCATTGGACTGATCTGTGGGCATTTTCTTACTTATTGATGCTGAACGGTCCAGCCTACTGTGGTCTGTGCCATCCCTGAGCTGGTGGGCTTGAGTAGCGGGGGAAAAAATGGTAGCTGACCAAATTAATAAGCTCCTTTCTCTTCCTACCTCTGCTCCTACTCGAGTTCCTGCTCAGAGTTCTGAAGTGATGGACTGTGAACCAGATGTATTAGCCAGTTGTTTTTGGTTGTGGTGTTTAGTCACAGCAAGAGAAAGCAAACTAAGGAAGGGTCTAGGAGAAGCACAGGCTCGGAGAGATGACTGGGATGGTAGGAAGCATCCCTTTGTAGGGAAATGAGCCTGATCTGCTAGAATGGGGAGTAGTATTGGGTAAATGATGTGGGTGTGGGATGTGAAATGCCTCCAAGGACAAGAAGAAGAATTTGGACTCTGCTTGGACCTACTTACCCTGTCTCCTGACAGATGTGTATGTTATTAGATCAGCAGAGACATGATGGACTGGAATGTGGATTACAGACAAATATTTTAAAGGAAAAATGGGCACAATTTGGTGACAGTAGCTGTGGGTAATGCAGGACTTCTAAGACGCCTCCAATTTTTCAGACACTTGCCCAAAATGCTGAAAGTAAACCAAAACAAGTGGAAACCAAGGCTGAATGTCATGGTGGCGCCACATAATCTCAGCAGTCAGAAGGCTGAGACAGGAGGATTGTCATGAACATAAGGCAGCCCAGGCTACACAGTAGCAAGACCCTAAGACCCTGTGGGGGGGGGGGGGGGGGGTAGGCAAAACAAAAAAAAAAAATTCAACCCCTGTCGATTGAGTGAGCAGGTGTGGTTTGGAAAAACTGTACAGTGTTGGATTTGACTTAATGATGTGATGTAGGAGGCATCAAGCAGAAATGCAGGATTTTATGAAAACTAAAAAGCTTCTGATAGTGTTTTGGAAGTAACACTTTGTAGGACATTATTGGATAGATGCTGCACACATTGGCTTGTTTTGGTCAAATCACTATTTACTGCCAGACCAAATCAGAAAATGATGTTTTAAAATCTGGAGTACTGAACTTTACTAATTTTTTAAATTATTATTTTAAGTGTATGGGAGTTTGACCTGCATGTATGTCTTTGTACCACATGTGTGCAGTGCCCAAAGAGACCAGAAGAGGTGTCAGATCCTGCAGAACTGGAGTTACAAACAGTTGTAAGCTGCAGTGTAGGTGCTGGGAATTGAACCCAGGTCCTCTGAAAGAGAAGCCAGTGCTCTTAACTGCTGAGCCATCTCTCCAGCCCCCTTACTGCTTTCTTATTGTGAAGAGGAAAGTCGTTGCACATAGTGATTGACATTAAAAGTGTGTCTTTCTCTTTTGTTTGCTTGTTTCTCAGAAGCCTTCCTTCCATCATTCGGCAGTTAGAAATAAGGACTCGCAAACGTTTTGGTCATCATCCCAAAAGGGGGGGAAAGCTATTATCATCGTCTTCAGATCCTGTATGTTTTGAAGTAGATATTTTCCATGAAAATGTAGAAAGTCCGTCAGAGTTGGAAACAATAGACATCAGTGGTCCTTCTCAAGACATCTCTGATTCAGACTCACTCTTCTGTACAGAAGCCAGCTCCATTGCTTCAGACTTGCCTCGGGTGTGTTCTCTGCAGTCAGAAGTTTGAGGGGATAACCCAGATTGCTCTCATGTGAACGTGTTTTTTTTTTTTTTCAAAATTACAAGGGATGGTAAATGATCTCCAGTAGACACAGAAGGAAGGGGCGTGCAAGGCCTGGTTTTCTTAGTCTTGGTGTGCAAAGGGTGGTGCAGTTTTACACATGCTGAAACGGATCCTTTCTGCTCATGAAGTTCCAGGCGTGCAGGTAGGGGACATAGCTACAGCTCAGTCACAAAGAGGATGAGAGCCTAAACAAGGGCCTGTCTCCTGCTCTAGTGCATCTTCCACTGTGTCTGCAAATGAGTGACTGTTGTCCAAGACATTGACGGCATCCATTCTGTATCTTCCTAAGAGGTCCTAGTGTCCTTTCTCATGAAATAAAAGAGATCATGATGTCTCAGGATCTTCAAGAATGTTGAGTTTTGTAGGCTGTAGTGGGTAGGTGGTTGAGCAATGCCCTGAAGCATCGCCCCTAGTGAGGTAGCAGGTAATTGTTAACACCTGCCTATGACCTTAAGGTACATGCCTCTGGGGTATGCCCGCTTGGGGGACCCTTAAGATCTGGGATGCACACTACCTGGTGGCAGCATGGACCCCAAAGTTGGTAGGGTAAGTGTGAATCTCCTGGGTACCTCTGCCATGTTGGGAATCTAAAGTGGACAG